TCACTATCTGAGCCTTTAAATGGTGACTAAAAGCCTTCTGTGCTAGAATGAACAAGGTTGGAGATAATGGATCTCCTTGCCTCACCCTTCTGGAGGATTTGAAAAAATCAAATGTCTTGGAGTGGATTATTAAAGAGTACCAATAATTATACAAACAACTGTAAATGAGATCACACCATTGAGAGAAGAAGCCAAACTTCTACATCTCTTTGAGAAGGAAACTCCAATCTAGTCTATCATAGGCTTGAGCCATATCCACCTTAAGAATGATGTTAAGCCTGTAAAACTTTCCTATCTATATCATTGAATAACTCTTATGCTAGAGCGACACTCTTATGAATGGCCCTCCCCTTGACAAAAACTGACTACTCTTGTGAGATTAGAGCAGACAGCACCATACTAAGTCGATTGGTAAGGATCTGAGAGAGAATTTTATAAGAGAAATTACAGAGACTAATTGGCTTTAGATCTATGAATTACATGAGCCAAGGGTATTTAGGAATAAGAACCATGTTAGTAGCAGTCACCCCCTTTGGAATCTCCCCTTCCTGGAAAATATCCTGTATTGCACTAACCACATCACTACAAATGATATCCCAGCATGTTTTAAAGAACATCCCAGTATAACCATCTGGACCAGGAGCATTGAGCTTGTCCATTTCAAAGACAGTAGATTTGATCTCTTTTTTACTTGGCATGGCCATTAAGTTTCTATTCTATGAGTCTGTTATTATGGAGGGAATCACCTCAAGATAGGAACCATCTATAATTGTTTGTTCTCTAGAGAAAAATTGCTAAAAATAGGCCACAGTTGCATTACCTATGATAGTATCATTTGAATATATTGTGCCGTCCTCTATAGTTAGTGAAAATCTAGTTTTAGCAGCTCGATTATGCGTGCATGCATGGAAAAAACACAAGTTCGATCATCTGCTTCTAACCACTTAACTTTAGACTTCTCCTGCAATAATTGTTCTTCCTAATCAACTAGATGCATCATAATCTCTTTTGTAGCAGAAGGATTCCTGGCATTCTCTTCAAACCAACTCTCCTATAATATAGCCTCTACCTAGATCAACTGATCATTTGCATGATTTTTTTGATAAAAATCGATCAATATATAGAAGATAAAAGAGCCAGCAAGAAAGTGACTATAATAACGAGTTGATAGTACAAATAAGACGGCAAACTACATAACAACATTTCTAAAAATAGCAAAACTAGACCCTAACAATAAAAGGATGAACTATCTATTCGGGAAGCCCAAATGACGAGTTCTTGAAGTACTTATCCATCTTTTGATTTTATTTGATCTAATAAGTAGATCATTTCCAGAATAGACAAAATGATCATCAATATATCTAGCCCAATGCGCCACTTTATGAAAAACCAAAGAAAGAACGTTGTCCCAATCGGGAGTGCTATCATTAAAGATAAGATCATTTTGTACTAGCCGGATCGACCATAGGCTTGAATAGAGAACAAAAAACCACAATTTATTCCGCATATGCCCATGAACATAAAAGCTCCACTTGTTGAAAAAGATCATCTACAGATTTAGGCATAATCCATGAACGACCCCACCGAGTGAAAGATTTTAGACCACAACTACCAAATCTCATGGTAATAGAGAAGGAGATGAGACACGGATCCTCGGTAATTATTACGGAAAGGACATAAGTTGGCTGAAAACTCCACTAGACCAATACAAAAAAGAAAATCCCTTGTCCGTAACTTGCGAGAGCTACTAACCGGATAAAGGCTTTTACTTTTAGGGGAGCTAAAGCCTTTCCAAACATAAGAGATTATATGTGAGTCACCATACAACGGAATCGAATCTAGAGTTGAAGAACAAGACTTAACGAGTATATAAGCCTTTTATGTCATAAGCCTAGATCCTCTTATCATCAACACCTAGATTTAGGTGAACGAGTTGAAATTAAATGGTGCAACCTTTCTACTTCTTGAACCTCCCAATCACGAAGCTCCCTCCTCCAATGGTATTTTCAAACCTAACTCGAACTACACCAATCTCCCATATCTAAAATTTTGCAATCTTTTTCGATAGCTAACTCTGTATAGACTCGAAAATGTTGAGTTGAAGTTTGTGCTACATGCCTACACCTTTCCAAAACATGATGGATCTACCATTGCTAGTGCTTAAATGAATCCCTTCTTTGATAGCATAACTACAAGAAGTTGAACTTGAGTAAACCGAGCAAATATCTTTCTAATAAGGAGATAAGATACCTACAAAATAGGGAAGATAGTTCCTATACGTTGGATTATATTTTTGAAGGATTAATTGTTGCCGGTAGGAAGAGTTACTCCCACTAAGATGCCATATCCATTTGAAAAGCAAGGCCTTATTCTTCCTTGTTATGGAACCAATACCTATCCCACCCTTTCTTTTTGTTCTAGCCACCGGATGCCAAGCCACCTTGTAAATCTTTTGATTGTCCGAACCTCCACTTCATAAAAAACGTTGCTGCATAGAAATAAGTTTTTTGCCACACCTTTAGGCATTCTAAATAGAGAAAGGTAATATATAGGAATATTTGAGAGGACTGATTTAATGAGACAAATTCTTCCACCCAAGGATAAAAGCTTTCCTTTCCATGATAAGAGGCGATTTTTCACCTTGTCTAGCATAGGCTTCCAAGTAGAGATACGCTTTGGACTAGCTCCTAGTGGTAAGCCAAGGTAAGTGGAGGGGAGAGAGCTCGATTTACATCGTAATTGGGTAGCCAAATTAGCACACACGGTTTCAAAAGCATTGATGCCTATAAAAGAACTCTTGTAGTAGTTGACTTTTAACCCCAAACATAATTCAAGCCACCTTAAAATCCTCTTGACATTCAATAAAGTACCATAATTGTTAGGAAAAAAGATAATTGTGTCATCGGCATATTGTAAGTGACTAATAGACATATTACCTCCCAAGTCAATGCCATTAAAAATACCCCGATTCGCAGCTCTACAAAGCAAGACTGAAAGATCTTCTGCAGCAATGCTAAAAAGAAAAGGTGAAAGGGGGTCACCTTGACGAATCCCTTTTGCCATGTCAAATTCAACAGTAGGAGACCCATTGATCAGAACTGCCATTCTAGCTGTAGAAATGCAGCTTCTGATCCAGCTCTGCCATTTTTTACCAAAACTTATGTACTCCAAAATCTTAATAATATAGTCCCATAAAACACAATCAAAAGCTTTTTGGAAATCAATCTTGAAAATGAATCCATCAAGATTCCTCTTCCTCATGCTATGGACCATCTCATTGGCAATCAGAGCGTCATCAAGGATTTGTCTGCAGATATAAAAGCAGACTGGTAATCACTCATCACTTCATTCATGACTTTTCAAATTCTTAGGGACAACACCTTTGCAATAATCTTATAAAGACCATTGACTAAGCTGATGGGTCTAAAGTCAAAAAAGGAACCCGCCCCTTTGATTTTTGGAATCAGAGTGACAAAAGAGTTATTTATACCTTTGGGCGTGTGTTCAGTTTTAAAAAATTCAGAGACCATGGAAAAAATGTCATTTCCAATCAACCTCCAAGCTTTTTTATAGAAGCTGAAGTTATACCCATAAGGACTTAGAGCTTTGGAGCCATCGCAACTCCAAACTGCTTCTCTAACCTCATCTAAAGAGATCATTTTCTCTAGATCAGCTGCTGAGCCTGGACTTAACTTCTTGAACCCATTAGCCCCAAGAATTAGTCGATCCCAAGAGACATTAGCAAATAGATTGGAGAAAAACCTCACTGCCTCAGTTTTGATAACATTAGGCTTTGAGTAAAAAAATCCCATCAATTGTTATCTAGGTTAATTTGTTCTTTCTTCCTGTGATTGAAGCAGTCATATGAAAGAACTTGGTATTTCTGTCACCCAATTTGCACAAATTAGCTCTAGTTTTCTGCCTCCACAGAGATAAGATTTCTGCTAACAGTCCATAGTTGAGCTTCAGAGTTTCTGAGATCATCTATTTGTGAGCTTGAAAGAGCCTGAACTTCCTTTAATAATTCTAAAGAGTTGAATTTTGTTTTCAAGTCCTTCAGCTGATGGTCCAAATTCCCAAAGATTGAATAGTTCCACGCTTTCAATTTTGATCGAAGTAGACTCAATTTCTTTATAACTTTGAAGCAGTTCGGTTCAGCCCGACATACTTCCTCCCACATGCTCTGCAGAGACTCATGGAAAAGAGGATGAAACCACCAGCAATCAAGAAAACAATAAGGCTTCCAACCCCAATTAATAGATTCAGAGCCAAGTAAAATTGAGGAATGATCAGACAACCCTATAGGAAGACTAACGAGTTTTAAATCTGGAAAATTGAGAGACCACTGAGAACTAGCAAAAGCATGATCAATACGACTCATTGAGCTACCTCTAAACCAAGTGTATCTTCGGCCAGTTAGAGGAAGCTTAATAAGATTGCATAAGTTCAGGAAGAGATCAAAGGATCTGGCACCACTCCCATTCACTCGACCACTACTTCTATCACATGCTTGTAAGGTCTCATTGAAATCACCAATCAGCAACCATGGTATGTCAAAAGAAAATTTTAGTAGTGAAAGCTCCACCCATAAAGTTTTCCTACTAGACAAATCACAATTTGCATAAACTGGAACAACCACACATTCAAAATTTATAACCACAAAACACCCAAAAAGAGTAATCCAACGAGCATTGTATTCGACATTAGACACCCTGAAGGAGGCATTTATTCCAAAGAACTAGCATACCACCTGAATTTCCTTCAGAGTTGATACACTGCCATCGAATATCTTGACCACTCCACAAACTACTAACCAAAGAATTATGATGGGCAGAGGTTTTGCGTCTCCAGAAGGCAGAGCACATCAATGTGGTAAGAATTGATGATTTTTGTGACCATTCTTCTCTTATACAAACTCTTAAGTCCTCGATAATTCCAAGAAACAATGTTCATAGAAAAAGGATCTAAAAACCTTATAAGGCGATCTTTGACCCAATCAATCAAAGAGACCCAAACCATTCCTTATTTTCCACCTTAATCTGAGTTCGAATATGATCAACAACAATATCGTTTCTACTTCTATCATGGATTCCCAGTTCAACACCAACATCCAAAGTAGCATCCAATTCAGAGTCTAGATGATGGCCTAGACCTGTAGCTCTAGTACCAACAGAATGAACTATTCTTTTATTTCTTTTTGAAATGGCAGAATCCATCAACCCATCACTGGTATATCCGTCTGTCTCTACAATGGCACCTTTAGTACTAATTATTTTAACTTTGAGTTTTTTCCTCCTGTGAGTTGTACCAGCTGCTCTAGGTCGAACTTGCTGCTTCTTCCTTGTTATAAGTTCACTATAGACTTGGGTTCTTGAGTCCACCAGTCCATGGGTGCCATCAATTTGTTCACATATAGGCCCAAGTTGAGAGTCCAACACCCTTGAAGGCCCATCATCCATCTTAAGGCCAAATTGGTCCACACTATTGTCATTCCTGGATGATCGGAGACTAGCCGCTCCAGTTGAATTCAAATTTTGAAATTTTGACAAGCATGCTGTTAGCTCTGGAAACAAATCTACTTAATGATCTCCATTAATTGTTGTAGTAGCTAGTTGTCCCACAGCTTCTGACATCCTTGTAGCATAGGTATCTATGATGAGTGCCACATGATCCATGTCATCCTTTTTTAGATCCACTTCAGCTGCTACATCCTCATCCTCTACCTTTTGGCCAAGTCCAGTAGCTATGGAGTAGCAAGTTCTGCTAAAATCCACATAATTAGGGATCTTGCATTCTTTCACGTTAACAATATAAGTTTTTCCTTCCACTATAAGGCAAACCTCCTTTTCCAATCTGTCTTTCTGAGAAGTGCCAATCAAAAATTTCATGGAGGTGATAATGCAAGGGGATTGTTCAAACCCAATTAGTCTACCAAAGTGGCTGCTAATTTGCTTTAAACATTCATTATTCCAAGAATTAAAGGCAACCCATCCATCTCAATCTAGCAGAATCGATCATAAGCACTATCAGTAACATTCTAAGGCCTTATCTCTTCAAAAATAAAGAGAGAACAGAGCCAAAAGTCTCTATTGCATTATGCATGTCTTCAATCAAATTAAAGGTAAGTAATGCCTATGAAGCTCCAAGGAACCTTAGTCAAATGAGCTTGACACCACAAACCTTCAAATCATGCTTAAGAGACCCATAATCAACACTAGCTGATATAACTCCCACTAAGCTCTACTTCAGCCACCTGGTACTTTCTTTAGAGGTTGTATAATTCACAGTAATCCGTTTAGAATCTAATGTAGGCTGTCTTAGAGTCTCATTGCGTAGGGCCTCCGCATAGTTCTCTTATCACATAATCTCATAGGCATTAAAGGTCTCCTAGCAATAGTCGGCATTTTTCCATGATTATGTAGAGAGTTGATAGTTGTGCTTTGTCTGTCATACCGTGCCAAATTCACTCGCAACTTATGGGAATCAAACTAGATGTCATTGAGTTGTTGGAGCACAATCTCCAGAGTGGACTTAGTTTCCAAACCAATGAAGCCAAATCTTCTGCCAGGATGAATCTTTTTTTTATAGACAAATAGATCCAAAACTCTTCCAAATCTAGAGAAAGTTTTCGTTAGGGATTTGAAATCAATCCAATTGGGGAACCTTTCAAAGTAGAGTCTAAAAGTTGATGATATGTGTGGGGATGGGGAAGGGGGATTGGGAGTGGTGTTTAGATTAAAAGTTGGGTTTAGATTTAGCTATTCATGGTTAGGATTGGGGTTTTTTGGTGGGCAACGGGCGAAAGGAGACATGACTTAGGAGAGAGAAGGAAAGTTTTTTTTTTTTTTGCTGCAGTGAGCGTTATTGGGCAGAAAAGGCCCTCTAATTCCATGTCCTGAGTTGTCTCTGTAGTGTTTTCAGTTTCATTTAGAGATTAATATATGAAATATTAGCGTAACTAGTAGCCTAGTTAATATGAACAAAGGATAGGAATTCCTTGTGGGTAGTCCATATTTTTCTGAAATTGAACCAAGTTAGCTGTGGAAGAGATAAGAGAAATACCTGATTGACAAACACTTTGTCTAGTCTTTTCCAAATCTGAGATGTGCCTGCCTGATTATTACTCCATGTAAACCTGTTTCCATTATATCAAATATCTTGTAAGCCTAACAGTTGAATACGAAAATTGAAGTCTAGCATGGAACCAAAATCTTGGTGACCCCCTACTTTTTTAGAGACATCCACTATAGCATTGAAGTCCCCACCAACAATCTAGGGCAAAGACATAGAGGGAGAATGAAGATTATCGCATAGGCATCTCCTCTCCCTTCTATCACAACTTACATATACTGTAGAGAGAAGGAAGACCATGTTAGTAGCTTCTACCCTCACCTCTAAAGTAATTGATTGAGAGCATATAGCCTTAATAAGTATCAGGAAATAATCCTTCCATAGAATCCAAATGCCACTATTAACTGGATTACTATGGATGAATCTTAGAAAATGCATGGATCGGGCAAACTTAGCTAACATATGTCTAGGTTTCGTGGGTTCTAGAATAATGAGAAGAGATACTTTATTAACTTGTACTAATAATCTCAAGTATCTCTTTTTTTTTCTGGAGCACATGTGCCACGTATATTCCAAATTAGACTATACATACAGTAAGAAAAAGAAAGGTTCTCTATTATGACTTTCATCAGATCTAGTGACTCTTTGTTCACTTTGCTCCACTAAATGCTTGATTAATTTTTTCTTTTGCTTCTTTACCATCAAGATGCCTTGCTTCTCCAGTATTTCTAATATGTCTTTAAATTCTGAAATAGCCCAAACTTGTTTATCTAGTGTTCCTTTATAGAGTGCATGTGGTGAGAGCTCTGAATTTACCTGCTGAGTGAGTATATTGTCATCCATACTATCCCTTGACAGTCCCTGCAAGGCATAAAAAATGTTTGTAGATGCATGCTCCTATAGATTCATGTTATTTATGGGACATGTTCCTATAGCATCATTATTGTAGCTTTATTATTAACTTCAGAATTGGTGGCATCTGTATCAGGAAGAGTGCTACAATTCTTTATTCTTGAGTTATTTTAATCTTTGTTTTTGTTTGTAAGAACTATGTTATCAGAAGCAAATGTTTGCATGCTATCTATCTCATCATTCCTTCTCTTGTCAAATATCCCGTGCAAAGCCTTGTTAATAACGACTATATGCTCCTGTAGGATTTTTTCAGTTAGTGTGGTATGCTCCTATAGCACAACTATAGTGGAGGATACTTTAGCACCTAATAAGTTACTCTCTGTTTATTGTGAAAAAATCTGAACTTTGCTTATCTCCACCTAGGTTGTATCTTAAACTTTTACAATTTGCCTAATGTTTGGTTGTACTGGTACCAGTGTTAAATCGATTGCTATAGCCATATTGCACATTGTGGGATAGGATGTTGTAGTTTATGGGGTTTTCTTTACTGGAGAAACTATTATAATCTCTTTACATTTTATGTTATTCGTATGAGGGAAAGCATCGGAGGCTTGATTTTGCATGGAACCCTAGATTGTTATTTTTTTCTAAGGAAACTTGATTTTTATCCTTTGGCAGATAATAGATAGTTTTGTATAGTTGGAAATCATGTGCCCTTATAGATGGCAGTGGTCACAAAAAGTTATCCTGGATTCAATTTGTACCTATTGCCAAAAACTTTGGATTTATCATGACCTATTAAAATTCAGATTCTTGATGGTAGTGTAGCTCTCAGATCCACCTCTACAAAGACACAAACATGTATGGGATGAGACCTATTGGCTATTCAATCATCTGTACGCAAGAAGTTCCCAAAGGGCTGAATAATTTCCTTAAGAAATGTCGAAGGAAAGAAAGGGAGTGGGAGTCTTGGCAATCTTACCCATACTGCTGCACTTTAAGATTTAATATCGAGTGTTAAAGGTCTCATCCCATTTGAACAACCAAAATATTAAGTTTTCAATCAAATGTGAGTCTTGTGTGACATATGTTGTAAATAGCTTAGAGGATTGCTGTAAATCTCCTATAAAGAACTCCATAATTGGCTCTCCTTCATATGTAGTTGGAGGCTTAGGACATATGTTGACTTGAGGGAAACAATATGGAGTTAGGCTTTTGTTACGTGAGGTAGCTGCATGTAAGGGTTTTGGTATATCATCTTTTTATAGTGAGGATGTAACAGAAAGAGGAAGAGGAGCAATAACGAAAGACTTAGGTAGAGGCGGGAAAGAGCTAGATGCTGGCTGAACTGGATTCTTCTCCCCCATAGGGGAGCCTACTAACCACCATGCTAGTGATGGCAGCTAGGGTCTTTTTCCATATATCTTACAATAATTTATTATTAAATTAATTAGATAAATTTGATTATAATTTTTAATTTGTTAATTAATATCGATATTGTGTTTAATTATCTTAGGTTATATTCTATAGCTATGACACGTGGTTTGGATTAACCCCCACTTCGGACGTTATACGTCGGTCCCTCTACTTCGAGGCCATGGATGTTCTTCTTTTTCCTTCCACGAGTCAACACATCTATAGCATTTTCTATCATTCTCACACTAAGAATAGAGGTTCTCGAATCGAGAAAATAGGTTCCCACATTGAGAATAAAGGTTTTTGTACTAGTCACGGTGAATGCCATTTCTACCGGTGTATCTATCGCTCTAATCCATTCGATGGATTATTTCTATCACTCATGGACGATATATAATTTTTTAAAGATGATGTTATTTTTTTATTTTAATAATCATTACAATAATTACTTACTATTTTTTTTTTTTTCATGATGTTTAATAGTTTTAGTTCACCTTGTAGAGATTATTCCGCTAGGATAACCAAGATTTTCAAGCAACAATTGGATGTCGATGGGTCGGCGTGAAGTCCGCATTGGATTTCACTAAATAATTCTACTTTACTGAATTTAGGATACTGTATTATTAATTTATTTTATTATATTTAAAATATTATTTTAACATTAAATTAAGTAAAAATTAATTTTTTTAATTTATGTAAAAATATTTTTACTAGGAACCGGCCATCGAGGCGATTGTTAGAGAAGTTTGGGAGGCTCTAGTAAGAAAGTCCTACTCTAATTTCGTTTACGGCCATAGTTTAATATCCAAACGACCTCATTTTATTCGGTAGGAGGTTTGAGACTCGTGGCATCAAGATTTTGCCAAACTTGATCATATGACTTGTATAGAGCATACATCATGAAATCGGATGTCGAAGATTGGTGACTCGGTTGCAAACGCTTCCAAGCATACGGGGGTCCATCTCTTCGAAGAGCACATTCACCCCTTAGTAAATCATATCTTATATTATTAATTAAATGTTTAAAAAAATTTTAATTTGTATCTCATATTGTTTATGATTCATTTTTTTAGGAGGTAAAATTGGGGATGAACCAATGAGTTTTGAGCTATTTAAGACCACTCACAAGCCATGAGTTTGTTCTTTCATTGATCTATGCACCCGACATATAATGGTAAATGTTTTTTATTTTTAAATTTTATATATGCAAATATAATCTAAAATTATATTTTAATCTTTCAATGTTATAATTATTTCATTTATGTAGGAGCTTATTAAAGAGCTCATACAGGAAGTCATTGCGATGCGATAGGAGAAAGGAATCCGGAACCAAAGGTTGATAAGAATGCTATATAATTTCAGTTTGTAGGGGAGAATAAGAAAAGGCTATATGGTGTAGGCACACAAATGTCACACTATCTATCCCAATTAAGTGGTGTCGGCTCGCTCTTTGTGTCATCACATTATACCGATGACATTTCTAATGAGGAAGTTCGGAGGCGGTACGAGGAGGCGAAGAAGACAATACAAGGAATGCGGACCAAATAAGATGAACTATAAAACATTGTCATATAGTAATAAAGTTCCATACATGGGCTACAGGTCTCGGTATGATTAATTTGACTCGATGTTGACTAGGCCGGAGCGGATGTTCCGATTACCTATAGATCCGTCCACTAGTTAGGTCTCCACCGTCCCTCCCACTAAGCCACAAGACTCCACCGTCCTTTTCACAGAGTTAGAGGAATTCACCATCCCTCCTTTTGAGCCATAGGAGGAGGAAAGATGATTGGATGATTAGGAGCGGCATTTCATTTTTTTATTTTTTATTTTTAACATATTAACATATATTTTTTTGTTAATATAAATATATATTTATTTTTAATAAAAAATAAAATTTAATAATACGTTTTTCCTAATCGTTAATTACTATTGAGAATATCATAAATTTAAGAAAAAAAATAAAAACCAAAAATTTTAATTAAAAAAAATTAATAAAATTAGTGATGGATTAGTGATGAAAATTAGCGACACTAATAGCCATGGAATGGCGACAAACATTTAGCGATAAAATTTGACATGAAATAACAATGCTAAAATCCTCGGATTGACGTCCTACTAGCAATGGAATTGAGCATTTTAGTGACGAAATTGTCATCAATAATTAGCAATGAATTTATTTCTTCAATCATTAAGGTTAACAACAAACGTTTTAGTGATAAAAGTTATGCTATTGCAAATCCATCGATAAGCATGTTTAGTAATGGATTTTTGTTAATTAGAAATGGCTTTTTCCATCACTAAATGCTAGTTTCCTTGTTGTGTTGGTTTTATAATATATTTTAATTGATGATTTCATAAATCATAAAATTATAATATTTTGGATAAAATCATGGATTTTGAGTTATTGGAGCATTTTTTTTTATAGAATGGATGACATAAAATCTAATAAATTTCAAAGCCGAAACTCTAAAAATAAATAAATAAATAAATAAATAGCAAAAAAAAATCAATGACGGACAATAAGTTATTGTTAAACAATGATGGATTTATGAACAAATAATGACTGCTATTGATTTATGATTGATAGCGATAGAATATCGATTAGTCAATGATGAAAATTCAATGATGAAACACTTTTTTCACTCGGTAATGTGGTAAATTTTTAGTGGTTATTTTAATGACAAATTATTAAGTAAATTACAATGGCATTCGGCGATAGAACATAATTTCCATTGCTGATATTGGAGCCTTTTTTCCCCTCTTATTTGTGATGAAATATTCCATCGCTAACCCTTTTAATCTCTCACCAATTAACGATGAAATATGTCCATCACTAAAGAAATTATCCGAGTGATGAAATTTTCTCATCATCGATATAGCTGAAAAATTAGTGCAAATTTTTGAATTTTAAAATAGTGATGGAAACTTAATTTTGTTGCTAAGTAAATGCATATCGTTGATGGAATAATGATGGAGTCATGTCCATCGCTAAATTACAATCCTTGAATTAACAAAATCTATTCCTTCTAGCAGTTTATTCTCCATTCTCATACCCAAACTCGATCACCACCAGTACTGCAACATCTTTTAAACCAACTCACGAATTAGTCTCCTTTATACTCTAACTATCTCCATCCATTCTATTAGTTTCCTCTCCTAAAACAGTCATTGTCTTCTCTCTCAAATAGCTCTCATTGACCAAATACAACCTCTCTCTCTCTACAAAGAGAGATACAACGATCTCTAATCGATTCCGAGTAGGTACATGTCTTTCTCCTTATCCATATTTTACATTTGATTTTTGTAAATGAATTATCTAAGGTAAGTATCGATCTCGGTATCTACAAATTGATTGATTTGATTGCTTAATTGTGATTGAGTAAATATGCTCGATATAACTTTTTGTGTTGTCAATTAATGAATTGTCTATTGCTTGATGTGTGTGTGATGATGATTAATTAAAATGTCATTTTTTTCAAGTTAACCTAATGCTTGCCTATTTATCATTTTGATTGAAAATCATGATATGTGAAATTACATCGATCTAAGCCCTAATTTGGATTGTATTTTCACAATTTTCATCTATCATA